GTTCCGACCAAAACACACATACACATTCGCATATTTGGTTAAATTCTCGGAGGCTGCACAAGTAAATTCCGGCTGACTGATGTGGCAGTCATCAAGGACGAAGCATTTCCAACTCAAATGCACACTAATTTAATCAAATGCAGTCCATCAATGTCCCTGGAATTTGATGGGCAAGCTTCAGGCTGGCTAAAAGCCCTTATGGTATCGGTTACTATGCAGCAGTGCCAAATATGTCTATTTTCATCAGGACCGTCGTCAGTTTTCCATAATCGGAGGGGGTTTATCCAGGGGAGAGTCTGAAATACAAGCCAACAAACGTATGCAAATGCAAACTTAGTTACAGAACTTAAATGTCCAGTATGGCTTATTCTTAGTCAAGAAGTACTAAAACCACTCAAAAAGGCAGTAAATTGATTCATTTTGTTTTGTGTGTGAAGACTTCCTAATTAAATAAACAACTAGATTAGTATCTAAAAGATACAACCAACTAAATTTCAATAAATTTCTATTCTCCGTAAAATTGAATATAATGTTTAGTTACGCTTCGAATCATTTGAATAAAATCATTTCAATTAAGAAGCAGACACAATGCTTCTCTAGTCAAACGCATATTTTTTCCGTGCTTATCCATACGAACCGCCAATCGATTAAACCCACAACTTTTCTTTGATGTCGAATTCTATTTGTGCTCGGGCCGTGACCTCAAGCAAAATCCCACTGAAGGGCAAAATTCATTAATAATTCGGCAAACGTTAAAGACACAAAGTCAGTGGCGCGCCATAAACGAAAGACAAATAAATGGCAGAAAACTTGAAATGAAATGTGAGTGGACATTCCGACTTGTGGCTTTTGTTGCTTCAACTTCAACTTTTCGCATTGTTTTGCGGCATTCTTTCTGGCAACATGCAGCAATTATTAAGATTAATACTCCTAATATGATGAGCCTTGGCCGCAAAAGCGTGACCGAGATGTGTGAGGCCAAGCTGATGTGTTTTTAATGAGTTCAAGCAGCAACGGAAGCAGCAGCAATTAAGGCACATTAATTAATATTAAATATTTCAATGGCAATTAAATGCTATAATTCCTAGATAGCCCATAGGAAAAGCCGCAAAAGCCGCAAGCAGAAGATGGAAAAACTTTTCGGACGGCCAAGAAAATGAAATTTTCATTAGCCGCAGAGGCCAAATGGATTTTTGCCCGCCGCCATCCACTATCCACTACTTGCCATTCAAATTTGGAGTGGAAAGTTTTCAACTTAGCCCAAACAGGACACATGTTACAAAATTAGCAAATAAATTTCAAGAGGAGCCAAACTTGCTGCGCGCATTCCAAATGCAAATGAAATGCACGCGATTGTTGATGGTTGAGAAGGGGGAATAAAGGGGAACCTAACTAAAGTGAACTGAACTGAACCGAAACGAAAGGAACCGCAACCCGCGCTGCATTTCTTATGACCGAGGGCAGGAAAATATTTTCCAAGGCATTTCAATTTGGCCCCGCAATACGCGTAATTGAAATTTGCATTTGTGTGGGACGTTGGGCAAAAACAAAACCGAAAAGAAAATCAAATGAAAACGGAGGTGCTGGTGGCCAAAAAAAGCAAAAGAAGTTACGGAGGAAACTCCGTCGTGAAGAAAGACCAATTAAGAGCCGCGGCGTGGAATTTTGATTGCGGTTTGCAAATTTCTAGCAGGCCAGTCCAGGAATCTCGCAAAGAGGCTTCACACGCGGCTCGTCCTGGAGGAAAAGGTAATGAAAAAATGTACTTTTCCATCGATTCCCTTCCATCTTCTCTTGTTGGTCACTTTTCAGCACATTAGGACTGTTGATATTTATTTAAAAGAAGCCGGAACAGGGACCTTGCCAGCGTTGACATTCAAGTCAATCGAAAAGTTTACAAAAAACGCGAGGCTGTGTCCTCGGTCACCTGAGTCAACAACTCAGCCTGTCCCTCCATATTGAAACAAGGCAATGAAATGCCGCCAGTTACTTTTGCCAAGAAATTCCAAAAAAGTTGTTGAACTGGTAAATAAGTGGGGAGGAAAATATAACTGAACAAAAATTTTGAGACTTGAAACTCTGATTAAGATATAGATATGATTACAACATAATTAAATTCTTAATATTTAAATTTTAATTTTATTTTATAAATATCTTAACCCACCATACATAAATCCCTTTGGATTACCCCTTAAATCCATGTTATGAGAAAACACTTAACTCATTTTCTGGCAACTTCTTCTCCAACAATGTAAGCAAATATTTAGTTCTGCATAAAAAATCAGTAAATAAAAGGGTTAAAAATGCACAGTTCAAATTATAAATTCTAATTCCAAGAATTTAATCATGTATGAGAATTTTTCCTGTGCTGGAAAAAATGTCTTAAAAACTTTGGGAAGACACAACCCGCGACCTCCGGACCGCAAATTGTTTTAAGCCATGGATTGGACAAAAAACACCAGAAGCAGCACAAACAGGCGGCACATTTCCAGGAATAAAGCCAAAGGACTAGAAGGAGGACTGGGCCAGGAGAGGAACGTCAGTTCGCATTAGGCCCTCAACTATAGCCAAGGCCAAGTTTTGGGGCCGAATCTGTGGACCAACATCGACGGCTGAAAGGCAATGGAACCGTAAATTCTATTGCATGACTTGATTAAATTCGCATGCAACGCTGACCGGCAGACCCCTCCGTTCACCCAGCCAGGATTCAGGACCAAACACCCCCCAGACCACCCACAAGGACCTTTCCCCCACAAATCCTGCCCCCCATCAGTTCAAACAAAAGGGCAGCGACGTTGCCAACTATGCCATAGCTGAAATTTCTTGGCTATTTGCAAGCTGCCTTGGCTCATGGCTTCTGTTTTTGCCTGCGGACCTTGCCTTTTTCCTTCGACCATTTCCTCATTTTAACGTTTTAACGTGACTTAATGAAGTTTCAGTGTCACAGCAAAAGCTGCTGCTGCTGCTTCTACGTTTGCTTCTTTTTCTCCGCCTGTTAATTTTATGATGGATTTTGTGCAGGACGCGCCATAAGAAACTTTGAACTTTAATAAGTATGTGTATGCAAGCATTTAACTTTGCCATCGTTTTGTAGATTTTTTCCTCATTTTCTCTATATTTTCTCTATACAAATTTTTTTATATTTTTTGACCACCCCTACTATCGAGCCATGTTAAGCTGGCTGGCTAGCTGGCTGGCTTCTTTTCTATGGGAACTTTGCTAAAATATGCTTCACAAGACTTGAAAGCATTTGAAGTAATGAAAAAGAAGCGAAAAAAATTGCATCCAACAAGTAACCACGCACACACACACACACACACACACACTCGAAAAGTGGTTTCCCGGGGAGGGGAGAAAATGGGGGGAGGGGGTGTAACTATACAGCGAAGCTGCGCAAAATTTAACGAAGCTTAACCTCATTCAATGTGAAAATACACTTTACGTGTACTTTGCGCTGTCATTTCGGGCGCAACTCGAGCAGCAATTGTGCAAATACTTTGTGCCGAAAGTGCGGTGACGAGCGGGTGGGCGTTGCTGGTGAAAGGGGGCGGGGCCAGGGTGAGGTGTATATGGGCGGCGATGCCAGCCAGGTGAACTTTTCAAACTTAAATGCAGAGCAGAATGATGAATGATCCAAAGATGCTCGGCTAGCAGCCCAAAGAACTCACTTTATCTCCTTGTTTCGCTTTCGACTTTCTCTTTGTCGGTGAGGCAATATTTGATTTGCAGCTAGAGGCAAGTACACATGGAAAAAAATGATAAAAGAACCAATAGTAAAGCCCTAAAAAAGAAGGGGAAAAGTAAGAAAACAAAAATATTCGCTAGGAAGACTTAAAATCAAGACCATAAATACATTTTTATTCTTTTATTGTTACCATAAAAAATCTTCAATAAATTCACAAATATTTTTAAGTGCACACTAAAATCGCGAAAAATCCTTTTCTCTCAAAGGTTCTTTAAAATTGAATTACTTTGGCCCCAAAGTGCAGTGCCAGATTTACTGACTGACTGCATGTGATGGGGGCGTGGCAGGTACATTATGCAAGAGCATCGATACCAAATGTCGTCAGCTCCTGCGAATTGAAAACTGAAAGTGCAGCAACCTGAGATCTGAGGCGAGTCTCATATGACCATAGCAACTCCGGCAATTGCACTTGGCAAAGACCGCACCGCAAGCACATGAAACGCACGTCACTGAGCGTCACCATTTGTGCAATCAAACATCCAAATGGCCGCGACATTGACCGCAAGCTTCCACAGTGTGAAATCTGATGCGGCTGGGAGCCAACCGGCAGACAGTGACCAAAACCAGATAAAAATGTGGCGAAAAATGGAATGAAATTCAAGCAATTGTTTCCTCAATTAAAGCCTTTGAAAAGTAAAGCAAAAATGCATAAGTGCTTTCTGCAACTGAAGTTCTTACATGTTGATTTGGTTTGCACTTAAATGAAATTGAAATTGAAAGCCTTATAAAAACATAAAAATATGTGTGATGGATTCATTTAGTGATAGTTCACCGCATTTTTGCTGATAAATTAATTTATATAAGATTAGGAAACCACCTCCACTTGAACCACTGTTGATAGGTCGATGTTCATCGCGGCACAGAGATTGCGGTGGCGGTGGATTTCGTGATTGCGGATTGTGCTGACAGCGAATCGCCTCACTTGCATCTGAAAGGGACAATCTGGGTGAAAGTGAGGGCCTCCACTTACACAATCCGTTGCCGAGTGCCAATGAACTTCAAGTGGAGGAGGACTATCCAATTACAAGTAGTAGCAATAGTGCGCCCTATGCGTTTTGAAGGGAGTGCGTTATAAAAACACCAACGCGACGTCACAAATTTGCATTTCAAAGCGGAGCAACAGCCGCGCCGGCTGAATCGCAAAACACGCACCCCGCTCGAGGATTTGGACACAGGAGCAAGCCCCGAAAGCACACAGGCAGCCATGAGGCCTCCGAATTGTGGCCAGGGCAATGGCCCACTTGCCAACAGTTCATTAATGATCTATGCATTAATGTGGCTCTCGTTGGCGATGACAATGGAGGCCATAGATGCCCCACTGCCGCTTTCGCTGGCGGAGTTGCCGCTGGAACATGGCAAACACCATTACCAGGAAACTGGTGGCGAATCGTTGCCGGGATTAGCAGGATATACGCGAAATTATTATGGCACCACTGACACTGCAAGGACCGATGACTTGGCAGCATATGGAAATTATGCTCACAAGCTCCTGGCCACCCTGCAGCATCATCCTCTCCACGAGAATACCCATTCCAGTGGCGGCTCCCTGGGAACCACCGCGAATGGCTTTGTGCCCTTCTACTACAACAGCCAACTGCACTCGCAACTCACCGAGAACGAGGATGAGCCGCGTCGCAACCCATCGGCCAATATCGATTTTGTCATTAATGCGGCAAATTATGAGCCAAATACCGCTGGCTATGAGCACGATTCTCGCCAGCACTTCGACAGCTATGCATATCGTCCGCGGGTGCAGTTTCCCACGTCGCCTCCCAGTCATTACCATTTCGAGCAAATTTCCAATTATCGCGACAACCGACAGCAGCAGCAGCAGGAGCATCAGGAACAGGACGCGGAGCTGGATAATTCCCGCATCTATGAGCGACTCAAAGAGCTGCAAAAATTGGCCAATCCAGTTAAGCGGCAGCAGGAGCAGTCCTTATCCAGTCACCATCAAAGTCAGGAGTTGCCAGCAAGACACCAACCCCAAAATCAACAATTGGAAACTAGGCAACATCAGCAATTGGAGGGTAGACAGCTGCAACATTTGCCATACCAACAGCAACACTTGCAGCAGCAACAGCAATCGCACCAGCAACATCCTCAGGATCATAGTCAACACCAGCGATTGGGAGTTGCCCAGGATCAGCAGTTGTTGTACTCCCACAAGGTTAGCCAAATTGCCGATTTGCCAGGCATAACCACCAGTGTCCACCACACTCCGGATAGCAGAAAAGCAGTCGCTGGAGTGCCACTGGCCAAACACATCGAGATCGCCAAGAATGTGCCAGTTACACATTACCAAAAACAACACATTCCCTATAAGCAGACCGTCCAAGTGCAAGTGCCTCGTACAGTGATCGCTGCCATACCCAAGCCACTGCCCATCAAAATACCGGTGGCCCAAACCGTGGCGGTTCCCCAGATGCAAGAGGTCAAAATTCCCATCGAACGGGTGAGGCCTGTGCCCGTGGAGCGACCCATTCCCTTTGTGGTGGAGCGCAGGGTTCCCTACCGAGTGGAGAAGCCCGTGGTCTCGCCAGTTTACTATCCGTATCCGGTGAAAGTGCCAGTGGTGCGCACGGTGGTGCACAAACAGCGACCCCACTACGTTGCACCCGGATGGAGTGCCACCAACAACCACCTGCTGGGCTAAACTCAACATCGAATTTAACTTCCACTGTGTTTGCATACAATGTTAAGTCCCAAATAATGAATTCTTTACCTGGTTGAGGGAAGCTTAAACCCTCAACTTTTAAATATCCTTTCATTAAGTTTTCTTTTTTTTTAGAAGTACAAATTACAGTTTAAATGTAAAGGTTATCATTTAATAAAACTGTTAAAAAAATCTCAAATCTTTTTTGACTTGACATGCGAAAGGCCAAAACAAAAAATCTTATTACAAGTTTTAAGAATTATGGCACATTTAAAACGGATAAAAATTGGAATAGGAATTTGGCATTTTGGGTCTTCTTTGTGCAAACTATCGGAAAATTAAAAAAATCTGACATAAACAAGGGCCAAAAATCGGACCATCATCGATTTGAAAAATCTTAACGCAGAGCGATCAGGAATTCCATCGCAAACATTAAAAGGTATGCCAATAAGAGATCGGATAAAAATTGTCCGAGTTATATTGGGTTGGCAAGAAAGTCATGTCGTTTTTTTTAGTAATCGTTTTTAATCTAATTTATTTACGACTAATCGAGCACCAGGGTCACACTTATCGTTTTAAAACTTATTGTCTTAGGTACTATCGTCGAAAATTTGGTAATTATTCGATAACATTTGTGAAAGCTATAGCAAAGTAAACATGGAGGACCAAAGTGAGCATTTTCGGCATATTTTGCTTTTTTACTTCCGAAAAGGAAAAAAAGCGGTCGAAGCTCGCGAAAAATTGTGCGAAGTGTAAGGTAAAGATGCCATGAGTGATCGCCAATGTCAGCGCTGGTTTGCCAAATTCAGGCTTGCAGATTTTGGAGTTAAAGACGCCCCACGTTCTGGTCGACCATTGACGAGCAATTCAGGCTTTGCTGGATGAAAACCGGCGTTATTCAACGCGGGAGATGTCAGAGAAGCTCAAAGTGTCGCATACAACGGTTGAAAACCATTTGAAGAAACTTGGCTACGTAAGCAAGCTCGATGTTTGGGTTCCGCATAACTTAAAGGAAATTCACCCAACTAAGCGTATCAACATCTGCTATTCTCTGCTGCAACGGATTAAAATCGATCCTTTTTTGAAGCAAATCATTACTGGCGACGAAAAGTGGGTTGTTTTCAATAATGTCCAACGAAAAAGATCATGGAGCAAGAAAGATGAGCCAGCCCAAGCCACATCAAAGGCCGATATCCATCAGAGGAAAGTTATGCTGTCTGTTTGGTGGAATTGGAAGGGTGTAGTGCACTTTGAGCTGCTGGGACGGAATGAAACCATCAATTCAGATGTGTACTGTCGCCAGCTATTCAATTTGGCGGAAAAAATTAAAGAAAAGGAGCCGGCACTAGCTAATCGCAAGGGTATAGTCTTTCACCATGACAACGCTAGGCCCCACACATCTTTGGTCACTCGGCAAAAATTAACGGAGCTGAATTGGGAAGTGCTACCACATCCACCTTATAGTCCGGACTTAGCACCTTCAGATTACCATTTGTTTCGCTCTCTTCAAAACTCTTTGAATGGTAAAAACTTTGATTCAGATGACGCTGTCGAAAACCACTTGTCTCGATTCTTTGCTGGAAAAGACCAAAAGTTCTTCGAGCGCGGAATTAAGCAGCTGCCCGAAAGATTGTCATTAGTGGTCGAACAAAACGGCCAATACATAATTGATTAATTATAAGTCCTGATATAAATAAATCATCTTTAAAAATATTGAAAAAAAAAAAAAAACGACATGACTTTCTTGCCAACCCAATAGGAAAAATCTGACATGATCAGAGGTCGAAAACTGGACCATCACCGATTTAAAAAATCTTAACGCAGTTCGATCAGGAATGCCATCATAAACTTTTAAAGGTATGCCACTTTGAGATCGCATATAAATTGCCCGAGTTATGGCTACTGGAAGTGCTAATTTGGGTATATCTACATATCTATCCGAAAATTCGGTTGTTTTCGTTCACCTTTGTGCAAGTTATTCAAAACGCTATAACTTTAACTTTTAACTTTTAAAAGGTATTGTAAACGATTATTCTTAAAAACATTCTTATGTCCTCCGACTGTTAAAGTATTTTACGTTTAGCCCTACAGTTTGAAGCCGCTGACCCCGGGCAGCCAGGCCAAAGTAATTGCAATTAGTGCTGTGGAGCAAGAAAAAAAAAGAAACAGACAGCAACTGCAGAGTTACTCCAGGGCTTCCAGCTCCAAGAACCCAACTCCAGCGAAACAAAACAAGACATTCTGGAGTCAAAGTTGAAGTCGGAGTCAGAAGGCAGGTCCTAGTCCCAAATGAAGAAAAGTAGCCGAGTAAAACTTTTTAATTGAGCTAAAATCCAACAAATGCGGCTAATAAATATGTATTGAAGTGCGATGGGCGAAAAAGGGGCGGGAAAGGGGGCGGTCTTTGGTGCAATGCAAAAGCAGCGAAAGTGCAAGAAAATGCAGCGGCTAATTGCCAAATGTAACTCCGGCAGCAACAACTTTTAACAGCAGCAGGAGCAGAAGGAGCAACAATGACGCACAAATAAACGCGACGTTCAACTTCAGCGGGGCGTTAACGAAACAGCAACAAAATTAGCCAAAAAGTAAAGTTCCGCGACCGTTGAAGAAAGTGTGGCAAGGATCGCGGGAAGTCGGGCTGGCAGTTTCTGGTGGAAAGTGCTGCAAGTTATTGCCGGCTAATGAAATTAACTCTAATTGACGTGGGAGCCGTTTTTGAAACAGAAATGAGTAACCAGTTGCGGAGTTTGAGGCACTCCATATAATGTTTAAAATTAAAGCGCAATTTGGTTTTTATTTATAGGGAAAATTGGCCACTACATTAAAAAACTATTGATTTATCAGCGGTTACATGCAAAAAAAAATTTAATTTTAATTGCAAAATTTTGTTTATTGGCTGACAGAAAATATAATTAGTCTCTCAGCTATAAAAAGAAAAAATAATTTTCATACAAATAAATAAAGTTTTGTTATAATAAATTCTGATTTTCCCTATGTAAATTATGACTTTTTTCACCGTGTAGTGGAATTTATCAATTTAATTCCCTGCTGGCCATATTATTAGCATTCATATGCCACGTAGCTATGCACAAGCTAACCACAAAGCGACGGAAACCAACTAAAAATCAAATATAATAAGCATGCGTTCAAATCAACGCTTGTCTGCGATTTTACATCTGCGAGCGTAAATAGTAAATGGAGCTTGCAGCGGGATAAATGCGCATAAATTCATAATTGCACTGCCCACATTAACCGCTTCGTTAGGAATTTTGCTCATCTGACCACTGGTCACCACAGTCGGCGGCAATGCCCATTGCAATGGGAACTGGCTGGTGAGGCCCAAATCCGAACAGGGAGCACCAGTCTGACGGGCCAATGACAAAAGCCACAAAACGCAATGAACATGCCGCTCCGGTCAGATAGGTGACCGCGAATCTGCTGATGAGACTCCTGCCTGTGTCCTTTTTACCCTGCCACTAACACTGACCTTTGCCATCTACGTCAATTCGTGAAATTGGATGCGATTGTCTGTCAAATTTCAGCCAAACCAGAGCCTTTCGATTATAATACGCCTACAGAAACACATATAAGATTTATTTACCTTTTTTTGTGTGTAGTAACCTATACTATAATCTATATTTAAGTATACTATATTCTATATACTATATTCTATATTTACATATTTTTCTGTACTCAACTCCTAAAAATTTGGCATATTGACCACTTGATTCACTGAGATGACCAACCAAAAAAGCGAGAGCTCTTAAATCAGGGTCTGGCATTGAATCCATTCATCTGCCCCGAAAATTCCAACCGAGTAAGGGCAACAAAATGGCTTTATAATTTCAGAAATGACTCTGCACTTTCGAGCAGGTAACCTAGGAAAAGGGCGACAAAGATAAACATTAAAAATTAATCAGCACTTTTGGCTCAAACTTTGATAATTGCCGGGCTGCCAAAATGAAGCCGAAAGCGTAAACAGCTACAAAAACGCCGGCGAGCGTTTAATGGTCGGAAAAGTGCGAGGGTGCCAGAAGGAGTCGTTTGAAAAATGACTGGCAACGGCCATCAGTTAGCGCGGCCAAAAGCAAAGTTTTAACCCTTTTTCGGGCAACCCCTTCTTTCTGGCCAAAGTTATGGATTGGGGAGCAGCCATTTTCGGGCGGGGAATTGATGTGCATCATAAAAATTTGCGACTCAGGTGGCAAGTTGTTATTTTTGATGTGCAGCGGCCACATTGACTCTCCTGATCATTTTAATTGACAAATGGCAAAGTTACGCGGTAGCTAAAGCACTTTACCCCGAAATTATCAGTATACAAAAGAGTTAAAAGTGGGTGATACTAGGTAGGATAACCAGGCGTATGAGTGATATTTCATGTTCACCATTTGATGGACTCCACCTTTTCTCAGCGCCTCACTCGCTCGTAAAGCGAAAATGCTTGGTATATCTTTTATGATTACCATAAACTATTTACTCAGAACTTTAATAACACTGTGCGACAAAATTTAACGAAATGTTTGTTTGAGTTACTTTTTTGATTGTTTTCGGTTAAGGGGCATAAGTTATGCACAAAAATATTTATGCCACCTTCTAAGTGATAGGATTTCTTTTTTTATGATAAATTTTATGAAATTATTATTATGAAAATATTTAACACAAAATATTATTTTTTTTTTACTTCCAATAAACTATTATTTTTTTTAAAAGTGAAATTTTTTTCTGATTTTTTTTGGCTTTTTCAGAGGTATCCTCGCGTAACAAGTTCCATACGTAGTCGCCCAGAGTATAGAGCTGGGAGAAAAAAATTTTAAAGCATTGTTATAAAAGCCTAACGGTATATTTGCTTAATACATTTTAATTAATAGATATTGAACTTGCATAAAACCCTTATAACGGTGAAAAAATATTTTCCCAATATGGTATTATAAGGCTGTGAAATATGCAAAAACACGCGTTTTGGGGACCTTTGAGTGTGCGTAGAAGCTGATTGGCTATTG